TGTAGAGTGAAAATCGGTTTGACAGAGATGATACGGGGTCAACTGATTCTCCAAATCCATAACAATATGCAATTCTTGAACCTAACATTTAAAGCGTGTGTACACAGTTTAAATCAGGGGTCTCAAACTCAAGGCCCGCGGGCCGAATCCGGCCCGCCACGTCATTTTATGTGGCCCGCGAATCCGCGAGCAAAAAAAAAAGAAAAGTTGAAAAAAATGTAATAAAAAAATAAATAATTAAAAGTTAGACTTGATAATAAAATTATCCCCGTAGTCGAAATTATGAGATAGAAAGTCGAAGTTATGAGATAGAAAGTCGAAGTTATGAGATACTTAAACACACAGTCATAGATGCAGCTCTTTGGCTGGTTACTGTACATTTGAAATGTAAATGTATTGTGAGTACATTGAAGACTACTTTAAACGTGGCTTTACAACACATGAAATACTTAACGTGGGATTGTGCAAACACAGCACCCTTGAAAGGATTTTAAGCTTTGAACAAAGTTATTGTAATAACTTGTTTGATATTTGTCTTTGCTATTTTCTTTAATAGTTTGATAGAGTAATGTGGGTTTCTTAACCCTAAATTAAAAGGATTTAAGTTATAATAACAGAAATGTGCTTAAATATATTTGTACATTTATATACAGTAACTGCATGTATAATATTTTTACACTTGAATAAACAATAATCAAATGCAGAGACAGTTATTTACCAATATGTTAGGAGTAGTTACAGTTACACAGTCTTACATTTACAACCAGCCCTTTGAGAGCGACCGTGATGCTGATGTGGCCCAGAATGAAAATGAGTTTGAGACCCCTGGTTTAAATGCTTCGACATATACGATAAGCGTAAACATGAACAATGACCGTGTAAGACATGCCTCAGGGTGCTTGTTTTCCATGGACTTACAGTATGTAAGGACGATAGCAGCAAAGACCATAATGAACGTGTCTCCCTGCCATTCATGACCAATACCTTTTTTTAAAGGTAAGCTAAGACAAGAGGGAAACTCCTTTAGCTACTATTTCCATTTCCACTACTAAGACAACATTCTTTCATTTGTCCCAGACTTGTAATGCCTTCTGAACCACTCTACTGACAGACCTGCAGATACAAAAAGCTCCAGCTGATTGCTAATAGAAAACAAAGTATCCTCATATCTTAACATTACATTACATTACAGTCATTTAGCAGACGCTTTTATCCAAAGCGACTTACAATACAGTAAGTGTATTCAACATCGGTTTTCGAGAGAACAACTAGTCACCAGAAGTAATAAGTGCATGTCCTTTCCTCAAACAAGCATCTAAGAGCATAAACCAGAGCCAATGTATAGTGCAGAAACAAACGAATGCAATAAGTGACACAAACTAATATAAAAACAATAAGTGCAATAAGTGCAATAAGCTAGTATGAATACAATAGATGCTAAGTAAGTGCTAAGCGGAAGGATAGGCCTTAACTTGCTCCTCATCAAAGCGGTTTTCTAAGAAAGACCAGGAACACATGTTAATTTCAGTGTTTTACATGCACACAGTCTTTTCAAAATAAACTTCTGTCTTCAAAGGAAACAACTTAGTTAGGTTAAGGCAGTGGTTCTCAAACTGTGGGGCGCGGTGGTATTACAGGTGGGGCGCAGGGGGAAATGCAGAATTTTTTTAAATTTTTTTTTTTTAAATGAATTAATAAATACATGGCGAAATGCCTGTACTTTCGTGTAAATGTTTACGTTACGCCGTTAACAGGTTACGCTTGCGCATGCGCGACGGCCATGATCCTTGGCGACTCACATGTGTGGCTTAGTGTTCAAAATGAAGAGACATTTGGCAGGCGGGAACAGAAAAGCAACCGCAAGCGATGCATCCGAGACGAACAGCAAGCAGCCAAGAAGAAAATATGATGACGCCTATCTTGCTCTGGGTTTCACAGTGAATGCGGTAGGAGATGAGGAGAGACCAGTCTGTGTTTTATGTCTGAAAACTCTAGCTGCGGATAGTATGAAACCCAACAAATTAAAAAGTCACTTGGAGACATTACACCCCACTCACGTCAATAAGCCACTGGAGTTCTTTCAGAGGAAACTTGATGAATATCGCAAGCAAAATGCAGTGTAAAACTCTTTATAGCCAAATATTTGAACTTGTTTTGTTTAGTTTTTCCACAGGTTGCACTTTATTGTTATCTTGAAAAGATGTTAAGTGCAAAACAGGTTAATTGCAGCCAATTGCAATAAGCTATTTTTTGCCAAATTGTAGTTATTTTTTGTACAGATATAACTTTATTTGCATTGTTCTAACAAAGTGATTGCACATTTTATTAGTTTTTGTCTGATGGAACAATCTGGTTTACTTAAAAGTGATTGCAAGTTTCTTTATTCTATTATTTGAAAAAGCACAGATGGAGGAGTCACAAAATGTTATTTCAATAAAAATTCAACATAGACCATTTTGTTACAATTTTGTTGGGGCATGAACATTTTTCTTCCTCCAAAGTGGGGCGCAACAGAAAAAGTTTGAGAACCACTGGGTTAAGGCAACAAAACAACTTCGTTAGGTGTAGGCAACAAAACTACTTCGTTAGGTTTAGGCAACAAAACTACTTCGTTAGGTTTAGGAACAGATCATGAAATACAAATAAATCTACTTTGACTTCTTGTTCCACATGGGGCACGAACAGTGGTCGCCTGGGTGAAACACCGCTCGTAGTTTTGAACTATCCTCATCCACTTTCCAACCCACCTGCTATGTGCGGGCTTTTGCAGTCTTTATACTTCATGGTTCACGATCACGTAGATTACATACGAATTGAGGACGTGGGCTATCTAAAAATTACAGCTCATTACAGATAGAATACAGAATGTTTCTGGACTTCATCTGTCTGTTACAGAAGTCTCTTCTTTGGAATTCAGACATAAGAGTTAGTGTTATCATTATGACAGGACAACCTAATTTCACGGTCCAACTTGTAACCCGCAGCGTCCGATGCTAATGCACTGACACAACTTTAATGTCCGTATGAGACACATAAGGCTTTTAACTAACTTGGATATAAACCCATACGCGTCATTAGCAGACAACTGAGGTAGCATAAAGAGTGAGAAATCTTATCCTCAAGTATTAGCTGATCGAGACCATGGATAATTTTATAATTCCTGAAGATTCAGTGAAAGAAAGAAATAAATCACGTGGACCTTTGGAGGATATATGCATAATCTGCTACACCTTGTGACCATGTCAATTGCCCCTCACCACCTGCAATCTCCAGCATAACCTGCCTGCCCATCCCTTCCTTTCCTCTCCCTGTGTCTCCTGTCTTCTCCCCTCCTCAGATTTCCAGGCCATTTGGGCACAGGAAGCAGCTTTTTTTGTGTTGTCGCGTCGGGCTGTTTTAATTGGCCCAGGTAAAGCTGTGAATTACAGCAGCCTTGGAGGGGATGTATCAGGTTTAAGCCTCGCTTTTCAGAGACAGGAATTTTCAGAGGCCCCCTCATTTTGAGCTGCTCCTCGCTCAAGAATAGCACGTCCCATGGTGTTTTGAAACCAGTGCTTCAAGGGGCCATGCTGTCGCCGTGTACAAGCACTGATGCAGTCATATTGTACGTTGGAAAAAGTCACATCAACAGAAGCCGTGTGGGAACATTAATCTGGCAAATTAGGTGTTCAACTTCTCCATAATCACAGTATGTTTAACCTATAATGCACTGGACTCAGTAGTGCACCTGTACTGTAGTAAGACACATATGTATGTGTGCAAAAGGTTATACTAAGAGGAGTTGATGATGATGACTATTATGAGCGTGTCTCTACTGAGACAAGGTTTGGCTGAATGGGAGAGGAGGAAGAGGAGGGTGGGCTAGTCTACAAGCTTAGCAATGTCAATTCAAAATCAGATTTATTTTTATTTTAGAGGGTATGATTTAAATTTTGTTTCGTATTTATTCTCATTGTTATCCACCGAAGATCTTCCTCGTTGCCAGTGTTTTGGTACATTTAGAAAAAGAAGAATATAGAGGTAAAAATTGAATGACCAAAGTATGGTTTACATTTTGTACTAACTTTTCATTTGCAAGTGCCTTCATCATTTCAAGTGTCGATCAAAAAAAAAGAAATGTTAGGAGGAGAAAGAGGAAGGTGGGCTAGTCTACAAGGAAGCCAGCAAGGTGAGGCAGTGAGAGAAAGTGCATAGCCTGACACTTTCACTGTGACATCAGCTCTCACCTGTTTGTGTGTCAGGCTGCTGCTTCCAGGATTTCACTGAGACAGTGATGGATGACATTCACAAACTAATCAGTTGGACAAATCTGTGTTAAATTTACACTATATATAATGTCCATGATAAAATGACCTACAATATCTCAATACCACAATATCTCAACTCATGCACGTGCATGTTACTAATGTCAAAGATGATAAATGTGATGATAAATACAGAATAGCTCAGTTGCTATTGACACTTTGGTTGTTTTAAGAACAGACCTGATTTCCTAATTAATTTTTGCCTATTAAAGTTGTTTGATAAAAAAAGACATATCTGAGCAATGATCAAAATTACACCTTACTTGTGTAAAAATAATATATATTGAGATATAATATCGATATAGATACAATATCAGTTGAATGATATTGGGTCCAATCAGCAAAGACTTTATAAATTCTTCAAGAGGAGGGTGGGCTGGTCTTTAAACTGTAATATGAACTGCCTCAAAACCAGCGTTCATTCATCATTCTTAGAAATAATAAAGGGTTCTTCAGCTTGTCCCCATAGGAAAAGCCTTTTGGGTTTCTGGTAGGACCTTTTAAAGGTTCCACCTGGAACCCTTTCAGGTGATTCTACTAAAGGGCCTGGGCTGTGCAACTCACAACAACCATGGTTCACAGTCACAATTTTTTTAATGATGCATGTATCATTCAGCTTGTGTGGGATGATTGAACATCTGGCGTGTTGCCAGTTACAGCAATGCTGTAGCATGTCAGAGCAGCTTCTCGACTTACCGTTCAACATCCCAGACGCGAAGAGGGGAGAAGTTCTCGCAGCATGCAGTGCCCGTTACAAAGGATCTATAGAGAGAGAGAGAGAGAGAGAGAGAGAGAGAGAGAGAGAGAGAGAGAGAATGAATAGTCACAAACCACTTAATACCAGCTGAACTCAAACTGATGCAACTAACCATTATTTTCATTTTTTATTTATTT